GCTGCACCAGTGCAAGCGGCCAGGGCATCAGGGAGAACTGCTGCAGGCCCGGTGCTGCAGGGCTTCAGGTGCTGCAGGGCGTCAGGGGAGCTGCTGCAAGCGACCAGGTGATGCTGCTGCCACCAGTCAGGTGGTGCTGGCAGACGTTTGCAGAAGCAGCCGCCAGGTGCAGGAGCGGCCGCCAGGTGCTTGTGTACCAGTTGCAGCTGCTTCCGTCCGCCACCTGGTATAGGGGGAGTGGCACAGGGCAACATGGAGCAACACAGGGTCAAGGGGGGACAGCGCAGGGTAACATCACAGGGTACAAAGGGTAACATGGGTGAAACAGTCAGGTTCGACGAAGCATTCTCACCTCGGTAGGAAGGAGAAAGTCGTGCGCTGTCAGGAGTAGCAGCAGTGGGCCGCCAGGAGTAGCAGCAGTGGGCCGCCAGGAGTAGCAGTAGTGGGCCGCCAGAAGTAGCAGCAGTGGGCCGCCAGGAGCAGCAGCCATGCGCCACCAGGAGCTGCAGACGTGCGCGCCAGAGCGCCAGGTGCCGATGCTGGCTGCAGCCGCTCACGCTCGCTAGCTGGTATGGGCGGGGGCAAGGAAAATCATAAGAGAATGTGGGAGCAGTAACAAGTGACTTAGCACAGTCAGTGCTGTACTACATCAATTGCAAGGAACACACATGGGTGATGAAGAGGTCAAGGTGCAAGCAGTGGTAGTTACACGATGAAGGGCTACTCACCTCGTCACGACAGAGTAGGCACGCAGTGTCAGAATGTTATGTTTGTCTAGCCTGCATTGGGGTACTCAATAGTGAGTACAGCCCAATCTAGGGTTTGCTATATGTATTCAACTGCTTGCTAGTGCAACCCCTCTTTCTCGTTTCTAACTTTCCTTTGGTTTCCAACATGGAATCAAAGCAGGTCGACCCTTCTGGGTCGATCCTGTGCATGGGCCCACCATTGTCTTCCGCTGCTATACTGCCTATCGCGCGCCTCGGGCGCGCACTGTCTTTTTGTCTGCCGCGCGCCCATGGCGCGCGGCCTTTTTCTTCCCGCCGCGCGCTCGAGTCGCGCGGTGGTTTTCTGCTCGTCGCGCCGCCCTGGGGGCAGCGCGACGCCCTGCCCTGCCCGTCGTGCGCCCCGTGGCGCGCGACGGTGCCCTGCCCGTCGCGCGCCTCGGGGCGCACGGCGGTTTCGTCGCCCGGGGGGGCTCGTGCGCGGCCCCCCCTTCGTCGCCCGTCGCGGCGCCACCAGGGGCCCGCGCGCCCCCCCCCCTTCGTCGCCCGTCGCGGCGCCAACGGGGGCCCGCGCGGCCCCAATTCCCGTCGCCTGTCGAGGCGACCCTAGGGGGGGGGGGCGCGACTGAAGGGGGCCGCGCGTCGGCCCCTCCTGCCTTCTTCGCGGCCCTGCCCTGCACCTGTCCTGCCCCGGCCCTGTCGCGGCCCTGCCCCCCCCCCCCCCCCCCCTCCCTTACCTCCCTACCCGCCATCTACGCCCTACCCTGTATTAGGGTTTGGGGGTGGCGAGTAGGGGGTGGCGGGTGTGCGGCCTCACCTGCTTCTCCTCCTCCTCCGTCTCCCACTGCTGCAGCTGCCGCTGAGGGGGGTGGGTGAGTGTGAGTCGACGGAGTGGTGCTAGGGGGGGAGTGTGAGTGAACCTAGGGGTGCAGCAGGGGGTGTGTGAAAGGGGGGTGCGACAGTGGGGGAGGTTGAAGGGAGGTAGCCGTCGTGTTGCTAGCAGTGCCAGTAGTCCGGAGGTGCGCTTCGGTAGCCACAGTGCGCGCCGCTCCTGTTGCCCGTGTGTCTGCAGCTTCAGCCGTTGCCTCCTCTCTCCTTTCCTATCAGTTCAGCCTCCTCCTCCTCACTTGCCCCCTGTGATAGCCTCTAGCTTTACTTATTGCTGTGAACTATAAACTGTCACTTCTTGTACTTGTGCTCAGAATGTGTGGTGACATTGTGATCCACCCTGAGCTTGTCTTTGCTTTACTTTGCTTGTTGTGCTGATTACACCCCACTTTGGCTATGGGGGTGTGTCAGAATGTTATGTTTGTCTAGCCTGCAGTGGGGTACTCAATAGTGAGTACAGCCCAATCTAGGGTTTGCTATATGTATTCAACTGCTTGCTAGTGCAACCCCTCTTTCTCGTTTCTAACTTTCCTTTGGTTTCCAACACGCAGCTGCAGCGGTGCGGCGTCGGAAGCTGCTGGTGTGAGAAGGCCGCGCACCTGCCAAGAGCCAAGTGTCGCAGTGCAGATGCTGCCAAACTAGCACAAGGTCGCCCGAAATGGCAAGGGGAGGGCGCGCACCAGCAGAAGCCGCCACATGCGATGTAATGCAGCGGCGCGCATGCTGGTGCAGTCGTGCGCCAGACGCTGCTGCCGATCGCCACGGGCGCCATGAACAGCAGTCGCGTGCAAGGAGCTACAGCGCGCAGGCTGTCAAGCGAGGAGGTAACGGCAGCCGCGCGACCGAAGCAGCAGTCGCGGATCTGGCCGCAGCCGCATGAAACGCGCATCCGGCGCTGCAGGTCGTCACGTGCGATGTTGTCACCGAGCGCCAGCCATAACATGGCGAGCGTTAGTGATGCGCGCTTGCTACAGCTGAAGGACATCGCGCCATGGGGCAGCGCAACGCAAAAAAAAAAAAAAAAAAAAAAAAAAATCGTCGCGACTAAAGCAGCAGTCGCGCGACAGCAAAGGAAATCGGGTCAGCACTGGAAGGCGGAAAAAGCAGCGCGTCATATGTCACATGACCAGAAAGAAGCCGTGCGCCATGAAGATATTCGCCAGCAGCAGCTATCCCAAGACCAAGGGAGGCAATCCGCCCTGCTGCTGGGAATCGCGCTGACCTAAACTGTCATTTCACCGTGGAAATTGCAGCTTGAGCAGCAGCCATCGTTCTGGAGGTCCTACATGAAACGAAAGATTGGGAATCGAGAATGACGAGACAGCCAGACCCCTGCTGGAGAAGGGTGTGGGAGAAACGGGAGCTGTGAAAAGCGCCAAACTGAAAGGAGAGCTTGACAGGGGAGTGTACAGTCCACGGGAGTTCGAGAAGCGGGGAAGAGAATCATAAACCCTAGGAGGGAGGAACTTGTGTTGCGACAAACAAGCCAGGTCGCCAACTTGGGAGGAACGTGCACCTGCGCGTCGTCACAACTGCTACAGAACTTTCCGACCATCGCGATTTCCCACCAATGCAGTTTCTGACCACGAAATGGTCAACGTAAATCAAACCGCCGCAATCCCTGCCGGAACTAAAATTACTTCCGCAATCAACTCCACTCAATCAATCCTGCCGCAATCAACGCCAGTTACAGGTATCCTCCAAGACAAAACGCAGTAAAACCTACAGCAAGGGGGAGTGTTAAATACACCAACATAAGATATTACAAATGCTGTTAGATTTTACTGTAGTGTTCCTTTACAAGACTCCCAGCCCTCCAATAATTGTACAATTATTGGAAGGCCAGAATTATTGGAGTCTAGAATTATTGGAGGGTAAGAATTATTGGCGGGTAGAATTATTGGTATAGGATTATTGGTGTGGACAGGGCCCTCCTGATGGGGTGAGCTGCTGACATATATACCCTGCTCTGTCATTCCAGGAAATCAATCAATTCCATTATTCTCGTTCTGCTTTCAACCATTCAGTACAAGTCTTCCAGCCTTGCTCTTTCTACAAACTAGCTTCCGCAACGCCGGCATCATGATTTTCTAGCACATGAGACCCTGGTTTTAAACAGCTAATGCAGCTTGATATTGTTGGGCTTGCCTGCTCGTAGGCTGATTTGAAATGTTGTAGTTGAGGCAGATACAAAAGTGAAATGTAGTCTGATGCTGTGATCCGAACTCTGTCACCCACGTCTTTCAAACAGTGCTGATGCAAACCCGCCAGTCTGTCATGGCAAGCCACGTCGGGCTTCCGTCAGCCTGTGGAGTCGAGCTGTTTCGCAGCTGTATTTGTGTCCTCTTCCACGCCCAGATCAGACAGTTTGAAAAGTTCGTCGACCAATGAAAGATTTACAATTTACGTTACCAGCAGTTTCGTCGTCATTTAAGCTTAGCTTTTCACATCTATCATAATTACGCGCCGCGGCGCCCCCACGATGCGCACCACATCACTAAGCATTTGCAATCTTTAGTGTACTGCACTCCCCTGTGCTTCCTCCCTCCCCTTGAATCTTGTAAATCCGCATGATCTCACCACCACCTCACTTTCTCTTACCTTCCCTCAGGCCATTCCTCACAACCACCCCCGCTCCAATCCACCACACACTCAAAATCTTCAGCAGCCATTACCCTCGGTACAGGCAGGGAGTCCCCAGGGAGAAGAGCATTCGTGACGAGGTTTGATCTCAACGTGGTGCCACCACAGGGTGAGCACGTGAGTAAATTGTTCGCAGGTGCTGATAATCGCCACAACGACACAGTAATCGCTAGAACTATGATATCCCGCAAGTCCATCCTCACGCCTTCACAGGTTCTTGCGACACAGGCTGATGCTACTGTACATCAGACTTTCGTACAGTGCTATTCTGTGCTCCTAGATCTTGGCTGAGTCAACCAGGTGCCGGCCTGAGGTGCTGGCTGCCAGGTTGGCGCTCGTCTGGAAAGGAACGGGAGGACGGGAAACGGACAAAAGGACTGCCATGCCACCGAGCCGCGATGAAACAAGCTCCATGTCGAGGATGCTTCAGCGCCGAGTCCTATTTGATGAGCACACCAACTCATTCCTTCCAAACGTCAGGTTCGTGATTACTCTCTCATCGCGTACATTCGCAGCCAGGCGCGAAATTTGAGTCGACGCAGTACTTGCGATTCATTTGCGGTAGTTCCCAGCCAGCGGCGTTTAGCTCTCGCTTTCAGTCTAGAGTGCTTCAGCGTCAAGCTAGTAGAATCGCTGTTCGCCACCGACGGAAGAGGCTAGCATTTTCTCATTTTCGAGGGAAGTTATCGAGTCGGCCCGCTTTCAGTGCTCGAGCTTCTCTTTACTAAGATTGAAGTCATTAAAATGGCTGTGCGCGGCACAATATACTCTCCACGGATCTGCGGCGGGATCGTCAGCCTCGCGATTGCCATACTCGTTATACACTCACAGCTTTCCTTCATCGCCGTCGGATCAAATCTCCCCCCCGGCGGCTGCGACACGTGCCGCCAGCTGCGCGGGCTGGAAGACGCGGGGGTGAACGCGCGCAGCCTGCACCGGCACGCGGCGCTCGTCGGCAACTTCAAGGGGCTCTTCCTCAGCCAGCGCGGCAAATTCAAGAACCACGCCAGAGGATCCGGCCCCGTCAATCTCGAGGTTTTCCAGGTGCGTAAATCACGGTGTTTTTCACCGACGTGACGTTTCGGCGGTCTCTCGCGTTGCTTTACGTTTGCAGCTGAACCGTGTGTCTGTTTAGATCATTAATCACGCCTAATACGGAATGCTAATGTTTATTCGTGCGTGTCGTTTGTTTGTCCAGGAAGTTGGTAACCACGTGGCTGTCGTCGACGGCGAAGCTGGCGATACCCTTGAAAAGTGCTGCGATGCATGCAAGCGAACAGCCGGCTGCTACCAATACCACTTCTTCCGCAGGTGAGCTTCGTTCAAGAATTCTCACTCAGCAGATTCAATTCGCGCCGCGTGCGCGCTTGCGTGCACTTCCGCTCGTACTACCCAGGTTGCTTTCGGAATTTGTCTCTTCCAGTTCATCAGCGCTCTTCCCAACCGCCGCTTCCCAATTTTTCTTATTGCAACAAACTCTCTAGACGCCTCAATCTTCCGCACCCCCCTGCACACTCTTCCCGTTACAGCAACCGGCTACGCGACAATGTAAACGTCCGCGGCTTCATGAGCGGCGTGCAGTGCTACCTGCTCGCGAAAGACGGCGGCGCGGGTCACTCTGGCGAGTACCGGACGCCCCTTAGCGGGGATGTCAAGGAGCAGCGCTCCATGTCGCCGTACTTCCCACTCAGCTGGCTCGGCGGGCTGTGTGAAGGAAGCCGCGCCACAGCAACGCCTGGCGTGTCCGCTGCCGCTGGTAACGATTCTGCAGGCGCACTGCCGCTTGCCACATCATCAGCACGGCGTCTTGGAAAACCATCACGGGCGGCGTCTGCTGTGCTTCGGCGGAGGGCGGAGCGACCGCCACCGCTGTCCACGCAAGGCCTGCTCAACGCGTCTTTCTGCCTCGTTTCCGACCGTAGATTGCACATCAACATCAAGCTCCGCGAATCTCCACCGCAGGCTGCAGCTGGGGACCTGGCGGAGGCGTCTGGTGACGTGGCGTATGCGGCATCCCCGACATCCAACCCTGCTTTCGCCCAGATGTCAACAGCAGCTGCTGCTGATGCTGCTGCTGCTGCCAGGAAGGAAGCTGAAAAGAGAGCAGCTGCGGCTGTTGTGAGGGCAGCTCTTGCAAGCACTAGCGATGCAGTGAGTGGTGTAGTGGAAGGAAGAGAGGGCGAGAGGGAGGGAGCACAGGCAGCTATCAGGGAGATTGGGTTTGTGTGGGTGGCTGATGGGCTGCATTCCCTTCGCATGGCCGTAACACCCAAGGTAACCGCTGAGAACAGCAGGAATATCGCAGATACTGCCGATAGTTTGTTGTCCCTTCTGGAGCTGGATGGTGTGCCACTGTCGCCCCCAAAAGCCGTGGCCGATCGAGTGACTGGAGCAGGGGGGCTGGTACTTAGCAAAGTGGCAGAGGAGAGCGAGTGGCCTGTGAACATGGTGAAGTATAGAGTGGAGATTGAGGGGTTGATGGTGGTGGAGGTACGGGCGAGCATCGTCCGGGGTGAAGGGGATGCGGGTGAAGGGCACCTGTCTGTGAAGCTGGTGAAGGTGAAGGTTTCTCCCACGGTCAATGGACTTCTGGGTAGCGCAATCCGTGCATCTTCTAAGCTGGAACTGACTGTGACACCGTTTTACACATCCTTGAACATCGAAGATCGGAACGCAGAGGCTAGGCTTAGTGGCCCTCTTGCCGACTATGTCTCAACGACAGTGATTTCAGCAGACTGCAGATTCTCGACATTTGGAGTGGTTGCTTGAAGGCCCCTCTATAAAAGGGTGAAAGTGCTAGGTAGGTAGAACATATTCCGTTTATTATTTTATGTATATAATGTTTCCAATGTTACTCAAAACAAAATCGTCCGCAAGCAAGATTTCCATCTCCGAACTCATGTTTGTAGTTTAGGTAAAAGCACGGAATCATGTATCATTGCTTTGGTTACGAAAACACATTTCAGTCTGTCTGTTACAGTTTCGTCATACAAATGACGTTGCCATCTGGTGTAGCGCACAGTTGATTGGCCATCGACTTTTTCGTCCATGTTCGCTTGCTCCTCCCAGCCATGGGCGAAGGAACTTCTATTCCCCGCCACAAATCAGCCACGAAGCTCCCAAGGAATTCGGGCTCTCCAGGGAACTACACAAACGGAGTTTTTACGTAACAGCTAGTTGTTGCTCATTTGCCCCGCCGCACCATACGCCTCTGACCCTGTCAGGGGAGCAGCAGAGTCGTCAGGAGTAACCCCAATTTCATTAGCTTCTCCAGCTGATTCACTCGTTGCGCACAGCTGTTGCGCTGCCAGATATGGCCCTTGCGGCTCGCTTATCATTTTGTTGGGGTGTGTAGGGTGTCGTGACGTCGTGCTTAATGCCCTTGCTTTTCATCCATTTTTCAAGCTCGTTGCTCACGAATTCGCCGCCACCGTCGGTGCGAATGCACTTGATCCGCTTCTTGCCGTCGTCGCAAACGTCGAGCGCCCACTCTTGAATCGCCTTGGCCGCATCTCCCTTAGCCTTCAAGAGTCGGGTCCAACTCATCCTTGTCGCGTCGTCGAGCATCACTAAGAGGAACCGCGCTCCTCCCTTTGATGCATGCCGCATCGGCCCACACACGTCCATGTGAACAAGCGCAAGCGGGTCCTTTGCGAGGGGTGAGGTACGGCTACCAAATGGCTTGCGAGCCATTTTTCCTTCGACACACGCCGCGCACACGCACTTCTCGTCGTTGCCGGCGATCACGTCAAATCCCTTCGCAAGTCCTTTGTTGGCCAACTCTTTGACCGAGTCGTAGTTGGCGTGCGCAAGCCGATTATGCCACATTTTGAGAGTCGCCTTGGAGCCTTGCGCCACGTTGGATGAGGCCGTTGTCGGATGCGTCTTGAGTTGGTAGAGTTGTCCGTTGAGAACGCCTTGCGCGAATTGCTTCCCCTTCCAAAAGAGGTTCATCTTCGCGCCATCGATGGTGACCTTCACGTCTTTCTTTGCGAGTTGAGTGACGGAGAGTAGATTCACCTTCAATCCCGGGACGTGAAGCACGTTCGTGATGTCCACCGGCCCGGCATCGACGATGAGACGCGTACTCCCAACTCCAACCACCGGTAGCGATTTATCGTTCCCGAAGACGACGCGCTTGACGTCTCCCGGAGCACCGACGTTGTTGAGGAGCGACGCCGAGTGCGTCATGTGTTGTGTTGCACCGGTGTCGAGGAACCACGCATAGTTTGAAGTGTTGATCCCGTCACCGGCCAACAAAACGAGCGACTCCGTTGAATCATCCGCCTCGCCGGATGCCGTGTGCGCGTTGCCCTCTTGGTTCCGCGCCTTCGATGGAATCCAATCGCTCGGCCGCTTCCGACATTCACGCCAAAAGTGCCCCGCTTTGCGACAATAATGACACTTGCTCGAACCGTTCGATGCGTTGCCCTTGCCGCGACCGTTTCCACCGGACGACTTCTTTGCCTCACCGTTGCTCCACTTGGACTTCTTTCCGGAGCTCCCTCCGGAGAACATGGCGGTCTCCACGCTCTCGTTAGCGAATTGTCGGCGTCGCGATTCTTCATGGAGAAGCCGACCGACCACCATTTCCTTCGTCCAAGTGTTTTGCACGCTATCGAGTGTCGTAATCACCGTCGACCACTCTTCCGGAAGGCCGCAAAGCAAGGTGAGAATCCAATCCTCCTCCGTGACCGTTCTGAGAAGAATGAAGAACGAGGATGAATGAACTATGAATGAGGTGAGTACATATAGAAAACCCTAATTGGGTTGTACCCCCTATGGGATACCCCACTATAGCCTACACAACAGCATAAGCTATATATGTTCTGACACACCCCCATAGGCAAAGTGGGGGAGAACAAGGGGTCACAAGACCAGTCAAGCAAAGCAGAGCAAGCTCAGGGTGGATCACAACGTCACCACACAGTCCGAGCACAACGACAAGGCCACAAGGCCAGTTCACATGCAGGAGTACACATATATATATAGAGCTAGACAAGCAAGAGCAGGTATATATATGTGACAGTACAAGTAAGGTCAAGAGGAGAGCAAGTGAGGCAAGACAGGTACAAGACCCAGCTGAGTGCAGAAGCGCTGATGGTCACAAGGCGCAAGTGCCTTGGTGAACACATCAGCAGTGTTGGCCTGAGAGGCCACGTACGCAAGTCGCAACTGACCACGCTGCTGCAGCTCACGAGCAAGAAAGTAACGGAGAGCAATGTGCTTCGTTCTGTGCTCCAAGCGCTGCTCTCGACACAAGGCCAGCATGGCCTTGTTGTCTACGTACAGCACTGGAGGAGAACGAGGCGGCTCTCCAAGGTCAGTCAGCAGGTAGGTGAGCCAGCGAAGCTCCTGTGCAGCCATGGCCCCGGCGTAGATCTCAGCCTCACAACTGGAGCCGAGAACAGAGGACGAGCGAGTAGCTCGCCACGAGACAGAGCCGGAACCAAGACTGAAGGTGTAACCCTGCGACGACCGCTGCGTAGCCTGGTCGTCAGCCCAAGAAGCGTCCGCGTGCCCAGTGAGGACCACTGGACTCCGCCCTCCAAGCACTAGTCCCATGCCCGACGTACTGCACAAGTATCGCAACACCCTCTTCGCTGCAGCCATGTGCTCTGGTCGGTGTCTCCCAGGAGCAACATAGCGTGCAAGAATGCTAAGAGGGTATGCAAGGTCAGGTCGTGTGCAGGTCATCAGGTACATGAGGCAGCCAACAAGCTCTGGATACGGGCCACTCGACTCTACGGACTCATCCGAAGGCAGAGCTGAGAGTGAGTGGCGAGTAGGCAGAGGAGTGGCCTGAGGCGAGGAGTACGTGAAGCCGAAGCGCTGAAGGACCTGCTGCACCATGTGTGACTGAGTCAGGGTAATGGTGCGGCGTGCTCTGTCCCGGTTGATCTGCAAGCCAAGGTAGCTGCGCAGTTCACCCAGGTCTGTGCACGTGTGTCTCTTCTGCAGCTCGGACTTCACGTGGGCGAGTCCAGCAGTGTCAGCTGTGGCAAAGACCAAGTCGTCGACGTACACGAGGATGTAGAACGGCGGCAGAGAGGTGTCGGTGCGTAGAAACAGCGACGGGTCGGCAGTAGAAGGAGCAAACCCAAGAGCCGCAAGCGTAGTCCTCAGTGTGTCGTGCCACTCACGTGGCGCCTGGCGGAGACCGTAGACTGGACGCCGGAGACTCCACTGGGTACCAGGAGGGAAAGACCCAGTGAAGCCAAGTGGGCGGCGCAGCCAGATCTCCTCGTGCAGGCTGCCCTGCAAGAAAGCAGTGCTGAAGTCGAGAGAGTGCAGCTCGTAGTCACGGTGAGCAGCAACGTGTAGCAGCACCCGAAGAGTGGTCATCTTCGGGGTGGGGGAGAAGGTCTGAAAGTAGTCAACTCCCTGTCGCTGACTGAAGCCACGAGCCACGTAACGTGCCTTGAAGACAGGCGGAGAACCCGGCGGCCGCTTCACCCTGAAGATCCACATGCCACTGACGATGTTCGCCCCAAGAGGGGGGACAGCGTCAACGTAGGTGCCTGTGGACTTCCAGGAAGCCATCTCTGCATCCATAGCTGCCTGCCACTGAGAGGAGTAGGGACCCTCTATCGCCTCCGCGTAAGAGCGCGGAGTTGGGATGTCAAGTGCATCCGGGTCTCCCTCAGGGGTGAGCAGTACGGACACGAGATGAGGTGAAGCAGCTGCCAGACACTGGAACTCCTCCTGCCTGTCCTCAAGGACGTCCGTGCCAAGGGCACACTCACCCCCGACTGACGGAGGACAGGCAGACCCAGACTCAGCGACAAGACTAGCAGCGTAGTCTAGGCGACAGCGAGCAGCAAAGTCGACGAGCTCAGTAACTAGGGCAGACGCAGCAGTAGACTCGAAGGAAGGGTCAGTGACGACAGTAGCAAGGAGACGCGTGACAGTAGGACTGGCAGCACGAAGAGAGTCCGACGCAGGGTCGGGAAGAGCAGGAAGAGAGGACTCAGGAGGAGAAGGCAAAGGGGCACGCAGAGGAGCAGTAGACGGACGCAGAGACATCCTGTGCGTGCCAGGGACAGGAGGAGGACGCTGACGCGAACCACGACCACTAGCGCGAGCAGCACGGACAGGCGACGCAGGGCGAGACGCAGGCTCACGACGCTCAGTAAGACCTCCAGTAGGACCAGTGTAGGGAGAAGGAGCAGGCAAAGGGGAGGTAGGCTGTAGCAGTGACCGCGACGGGACAGGCTGTGGACCCTCCAAGAGAGGAGGAGGACCAGGAGAGGGCGGAAGACCAAGAACCTGCTGCAGGAGTGGAACGAAGTACGGTCGAGGCCGCGTAGCTACGCCAGAAACAGCAGGGACAGCACCAGTACCCCCAGCAGGAGCACCCGCTCCAGCAGCACCTCCAGTAGCTCCAGAACCTCGAGCAACACCAGGAGCACCCCCAGCAGGACCGCCAGTGGTAGCCGCAGCGCCAACACCCTCAGCAGCACCAGCTCCAGTCGAACCCGCAGGCCCAGCAGCTCCAGTACTCCCAGTACGAGCACCTCCGGGACCCGCAACAGCAGCACCCTCAGTAGCCGACGAACCTCCAGCACCAGCAGCATGGCTCCAGCGCCGGGCAAACCACTCGCGCAGCTCCTGTGGAGAGAGTGGCTCCCGGCGAGACAAAGCACGCGTAGAAACTCGAGGCGGAGGACCTCCAGGCGCAGCACTCCCAGGTCCAGCACCCCCAGGCAAAGCACCCCCAGGCGTAGCACCCCCACACTCAGCACCCCCAGGCTCAGCACCCCCAGGCT